CAAGCAGACACAGTATTTTGAAAGTATTACCTGTTGTCTAAACGCTGGTATAAAACTAGACTAAGACCGGGGGATAAGGAGCGACAGGTGAAACAATCACACAATGGAAACACACATGGGCAGGAATGAAAGAATCTACAATGAGACAAATATATACAAGAAATCACAGGAAACTGCAAACAGAGAAAGCATAACCTGAGACGATAAGAGGGCGTGACACGTTAAAGTGACCGTTAATAATTGTTGTTTGAAAGTCAATCAAACCACTACAATTGGATGCAAAATCCACTGTAGAACTAGCAGACACAAAATGAAATGTAGATACAACAACCTCACATTTATAAAGCCATGGAAAGAGATGCACGATGCAACTTAGAGACAAAATGACCAAAGAGAGAGAGGAGAAAATAGACGCAACAAGTCCACAAAGAAATGCAAAATGATGAGAAAGAGACATGACGCCACAAAGAAGTGCTACATTGAAAGTAGAGGCAAAACAACTACAAAGAGACACAGACAGACTCTAGATTGTTATACAGGGCGACTGCAAAGCGATAAAGACTCACAAGAGAACTTTGCTCCGATAAAGAAGGGACTTTTATGTCACTGTATCTCAGATTCTGTGCATGATGTGAAAGATTCAAATGTCTTTACATACTCCTATTTCGACACAAGAGGGAAGCATTGTTGTTTTTTCATGCAGATGTAACACAGACAAATCTCACCAAGTAAACTCTAAATCTTGCCAAGTATATTCGTCTAATTTCTAGTCAGAATATGACTTTACACTCGATATAAGACCTAATAACTGAAGAGGTAACAATGCAGTGAGAAATAGGCTCTTGTTTTTAGACAATGCATCTTCAAGATTCTTGAAAACATCTTATTTTTTTTCTCAAATGAAATGTTTTTTAAGCTGCTGTGGTTTTTGTAAAAGATCGTTCATCTTGTTTTAACAAATACATTTTACTTGATTTAAAAAAAAAAAACTAATTCTTATTGGAAAATCAACAACTAACATCAGACAACTGAAAACCTTTGAGCATTTCAGGCTTATATTGTAACACAACATTTACTGATCCTGGTAAGATATAGTTTAAAATAAGTTGTACCAGCTAATCACAAGATCTCCTTTATCTAAAAATCCCGTCTTATTTCAAGAAATCTAACCAAGCAAATGTTCACTTGTTCTATTTGCAGATTGTTTTCCTTATTACAAGTGAAAACAACTTGTTTTCAATATTATTTTACTTGATTTTGGATCAGCATCTTTTACAGTGCAGAGAAGATTTGTTGGGCTTGATGCACAATTATCCAGTTTTTAAATAAGGTTATTGCTGTTTTTACTGCTGGTACTGGTAGTCTACATCCAGGGTGAGATACTGATTTGAGTCTACAGAGAGTGCATCAACCAGCCTTTACATACATAGGGTTAGTTTAGTTTAATGTTCAAACTGTTCTTCATATAAAATAGTTTCAGTAGCTATGTTTTATTTCTCTGTCTCTGGGCTGTAGTGGATTTGAAATAAATTAACTCTGAAGATGAGCTGAAGATGCATGAAGTGACTGCTGTATGGGAGCTAATGTGGGCCTCATATAGTCATACAAGAACCTCCCTCGTATGAAACAGCGTACAGAGTGCTGAGCTGTGACCTGACCTGAGGTTCTGATACGCACCACCGGCACAAACGTACAGAAACTACATGAGCCCCAGTCAGAGGGGAAGTGAAACTCCAATGTTCCCCTTTCCTAATCCAGATGTTCAATTATATACATAGTCACTAAGAACAAAAAGGCCATCTCTGATGAGAGATGAATGTGAAACAGGATCTACAGTGTGACACGTGACTAGTACTGTGTTGCACATTTATTAACCAGGCAATACAATTAAATGCATAGATCAGGGGTGTCTTGTAGGAACATCAGCAGGAGAGACTCTTTAAAGTAGAGACACTACATACTGATATACACCTGAACATCAGCAGGAGAGGACTCTTTAAAGTAGAGACACTACATACTGATATACACCTGAACATCAGCAGGAGAGGACTCTTTAAAGTAGAGACACTACATACTGATATACACCTGAACATCAGCAGGAGAGGAGTCTTTAAAGTAGAGACACTACATACTGATATACACCTGAACATCAGCAGGAGAGGACTCTTTAAAGTAGAGACACTACATACTGATATACACCTGAACATCAGCAGGAGAGGACTCTTTAAAGTAGAGACACTACATACTATTTTGAAACCTGAAAATTAGCAGAACAGGACCTCTTTAACTGAACAACTGAACGCCCAAACTTTCCCGTAAATGAATCCGTTTCAGCAACCCCTCTGATATTGTCATTGTCTTTTGTATTATAAAAACAATTGACTATAGCCACTTTAATGATTTCTGTGTGGAACTATTGTTCAAGTCAAGGATTAATGTTATTGGATCAGTTTCAGGTGACGTAGGCAGACATTGTCTAAGAGAGAAATCTCCTGGATCTGTTCCCAGGTCAGCAGGAACGCTGTGCAGGCGCAGCTCGAACACAGATTTAACATGACATGCAAACAACACGCCAGAGGAGATAACAATGGCATGACATGATTTCTGTGAAATTATATCCCACAGTGTTATATCTTCCTTATTCTACGATTCCTATCTTTTACTGCCACTCATTAATACATCTGATTCCACCTTTTAGAGATTTGATTCTGCTGATATAAGAGCAAATATGTACCATGTTAGCGTGCCAGGAATTATTTGTCTCAGAGCAGTGCAAACATTTAAGGCTGCTTCTCTGGGCCAATAAGACATAACATGCCAATTAAGATGCCAAGCTCTGATATAAAGTTCCTCAGTGCACGCCCTGATCCCCGAGCATCCTAACGTCATAGTAAGATCAAAGTGGCAGCACATGTCCTGAACTTTAAGGAATGATGCTGGTGTCTTATCTCTGCCCTCTGGTAATCCTACCCGCACCGTGCAACTCCTCACTCATAGCAGCGAGTCAAACCCAACATTATTCTGTCCTTAGGAAGCATCAAGACATCAAAATGATAAGCTTTTATCTTGTTTTATATTCCTTATAAATATATTTTGTCTCGTGAGTAAGTGTATTCTAAAGATCCTTTCCATTGAAAACATGCTTTTGTCCCTAAAATGTCTGACCTATATGCTGACTTGGCACTTGGCATACTTAAAGGGGACCTATCATGCAAAATGCACTTTTGTACGTCTTTTCTACATGAATATGTGTCCCCGGTGTTCCAGGGAATTCACCAAGTGTCAGAAAACACAACCCTCTCTATTTTCCTCCATACCCAAATCTCTAAAAAAAGGGGCTGCCACGGATCTGATAAAAACTGATCCAGATTTGAACACGTTACTGACGTCTCAGAAGTGGCGCTACGGCTATTGGGCCAACTCTCCACCTATCAGGGGAATGTGGGGTTGGGCCACGGCCGGCCATTGCCGCTTGAAAGAGCTGGAGACGCTGTAGTACATATGCCAGGCCTGTAAGTGGCGCTGTAGTCTGCCACAAAAGCAGCGAAGAAGACTTGGTTACCATGGTTACCCTTCTGTTTATTCGCTGTGGCTTTCTTTCTCTCTCCCCGAGGCAAGCGTTTGCTCCCGCTGCTTTAATTCAATGCAATCCCTCCCCGTCGAGGCAAGCACTGTAATTCTCTCCGGTTAGTCCACCAGCAGATGACAAACACCCACCTCTCCGCCTCTTCCAAGGAACGAGGGGACCGTGCGGCAGAGTTTCAGTTTCAGTTTCTTTCGCCGGTCAAGATGTCCGTTAAAGTTTCAATCTTCCGGACAAAATTAGAAAAGTGCCGGTCAAAGGTCTTCTTTGTTATTTATTGAGCTTTAAAACAAATGAATAACGACTCTATATAATAAAACACGGAGGACGGAGATCTCTTTTTCTCCCCCTCTTCTGACTTGATCAGAGCGGCTCCCCTCTCCTGCAGGGGGGCGTGGTCAGCTGCAGCTCACAGAATCAGCCCCCTGTAAAAACAGGGCTGGAAAGAGCAAATGGAGCGAAATAAGGCATGGCTAAAATGCAGGATCTGTTTGGTATTTTGAAAAAAAAACTATATTTATATACTTTATATAGGTATGGCCCTACAATATATTGTTCAAATATAGCATGATAGGTCCACTTTAAGTTTGGCTCTAGAAAGGTGTTTTTCAATTCTGCTGATGCTTGAATTAAAGCCAATTGCATGAATGTGATTTTGCTGCACAACAGACTCCTAATCGAGTCGAAGTTAAGAGGCTGAATCTCTGCTGTTTTCTTTAATGAATCAAAAGTAAACTGCAGCAGGATATCACGTTAGCGTTTGGCGGGGCAGGGCCCAATTCACAATGTCTCATTATTAAGCTAGAAATAAAGAGAAATGCTTTTGGCTCATTTTCAGAGATTTTCCTTTTTAGGCGGGAATTCCATGTTTAAAAAAAAGCTGGTTCAACATTGCTACGTTTTTTCTTTTTCTTTCAGGCCTACATTAAAACATGCTTGGAGGTGTAATGAACCCAAAGCATACTTTTGTTGGTGGAAGTAAAAAAAAACATGTTAGGAAAAGTTTGTGTTGCTGTGCCCTTGTGTCCATTAATGCAAGTCACTGCTTAATGATTGGGGTGATTTGTAGGCTGGTAGTAATAACTCATAATGAGCTATAAGTGTGGAAGCTAAACAGTGCTGAGCCCATTGAATAAGCCTGCGTCGCAGTGGAGGAGCTTCTGTTGGCATGGGATAGGGATAATCCTTTTAGGCAAAGCTTCGCCACGAATGAGTCAGTTAACACTTCCTCTCTCAGTCTGGATGAGCTCCCCAGCGTGAGACAGGATCCACATTTGATCAGATCCCCCTGGTTGTCCTCCGCCTCAGATCCTGTGGGTTACATATTGATCGACCTCACTCCATCAGGGAATTCGGATACCTGCAGTCACTCAGGGTGGAGGCGAGGGCCTGCTGGGATACGGGCCGAGCCTGAAAGATGATGGAATGGTTGAAAAAGTTTCTGAAAGCAATGATTTCAGCTAAAGTCAGGGCGTATGTGAGGGACTACTGCAGGAGGAATGGCCTTCTGACCCTCTCTGTGTTCGCCGTAGTGACGGGCTGCGTGCTTGGATTTGTCCTCAGGACGTTTAACCTGTCCACACAGGTATGGATAAATAGATAAATAGAAATTAGGCGGTGGATCTCTCTGACTACCATTGCATATCATTACCGTGGTATAATATGGTGTGATGGTTGTATCACTCAACATTCAGGGTGTGAAGCAACAGCCAGTCTGCTCGGCTCACTTATCTTTTCAAAGCATGTTATGTAATAGTAGATTTAGATCAACATTGGTTCACCTGAGCACTTGTATTTGTGAAGTGTTGCAATATTTGTAGCTGTTTTTATCTTGGAGGTTTCTAAAATATACTGCACACCACCTGCTCAGCACCAGACAGGAAACAAAAGAATTTAAGAAACTAGCTGATAAACAAACCAGAACATTTAACAGACGTGAAAATATTCCCTCCGTTGGTGGTGGAGATCAAAACAGAGCTAAAAGAGAGTTAATATTGGACTTGAATTCATCATGCGGTGATCAAAAATAATTATTGTTGCTCAATAACTGTTTGATGTGTAAAGGGGCAGCACATTGCTTACAGTTTGCCAAATGATCTCAAAGGTGAATGTTGTATTTACAACTCATAATGGCCTCAAAAAACAGTCATGCCGCTTTAAAGACTGTTTGCTATTTGTATGGTAAAACTCTTTTAAAACTGTATTATGATTTCATTTCTCTCATCAGATCATGCAGAAATGTTTAAATGTCTGTTTCAAAGCTACATGTGATCGGAACATTGTGTTATGTAAGCTGATCTAAATGGAGGTAGCTTATGTGTTTTGGCGAAGACATGAATGATTAGTGTCCAGTCTGCTCGTCACTGTCACTGCGGGAGCTGGCAAAACACAGCATTGAATTATTCTGAGCAAAAGACAAATATGTGAAACACACACAACAAATTGTAACAAAGGAACAGCTGCTCTCATGTTATTAGGTATATTATTGAACCATTATTGAGCTTTTGAACAGATCTTAACATATGAGTTAAACTCCTGGGCCCAGTAGTTCAAAACCTTTCATCTCAATCAGATCCGATCAGATTTTGAAATCCCATTTTTTGTGATCCAGGATCAGACAACTTGGGACAGATTTTGTCCCAGTATTTCAAAGCAATTCAGGATAGGATCACCCTGATCCAGATTCAGACTTTTCAAGATGACTAGATCCTGAATATCAGTGCTTTAATCCTACCGATCTCCATCTGGTGGATATGAAAAATAATACAAGGAAGACCACGTTGCAGAGACATCTATTGTCCGCAATTACTTTTGAAAGGTGAGGACAGATGATGGACTTTTTTTTTTGTTGAAGATATGTTTTCTTTAATCTAAATTACATTTGTGATTGACAATCTTTGTTGTGATACTTTTATGAGCATAGACATTTATGTCATCAACATTTGGTTGAAAACAAAATAGACCACCACAAACGTGACCAAAAAATGAAAAATAAAATTGATTTGCCATGAAGGCTAAACATTGTGTATTATTTCAGTTAACAAACTTTGCCATCTTATTTATATTGAAACATATTTTAAAATAAATTGTACAGTACATTTTGCTCTGGTAATCCACCCCTCTGGTGGGATCAAGATAATCCAGTTTTTTGGGATCAAACTGATCCCAATCCTGTGTTGTCGGTTTGAACTACCCGTTTTGAAGATTTGATCCAGATTAAAGCTTGGATTTGTTTTCCTGATCGGATATCAAAGTGATCCTAATCCTGTTTTTTGGTTTTGAACTACCCAAAATCCAAATCTGATCCGATCAGATATAGGGATTAAAAGTTTTGAACTACTGGGCCCTGGTGATTGATTTCAATGTAAATTAAAGTGATATGGTCCTTGCTGTTTTAGAAATATGGTTTGCTACAGGTGATTCTCTCTCACACAGGCTAAGATCTACTTTTCCTTCCCCGGAGAACTCCTGATGAGGATGTTAAAGATGTTGATTCTGCCGCTCATCACCTCCAGGTAAGAAAAGTCCTCCCCTTTGTGTAAGTCCTCACTCAGGTCAAATATGACTGCAAACGGCTGCAGTGCATTCAAGGTGGTACGTTCAACTTGTCTAACCAATTGTGAAAATGCATTATAACGGCTAAACACTCTTTTTATTATTGCATCTGTAGAATAAAGTTAAACCACTTTCCATAAGTAATATTTTGAAATGTTCTAAACAGAAACGCTCAGGTTATATCTACACTTTATTATATGCATATTGTTTTGTTTAACAATAATTTGATTATTGATGTTTGTACCTGTAGTTCTGTTCTAAAAAAAAGAGATATATACAAGTATAACTGGAAAAGATCTCTGTTCAATTGAAATAAATAACATTTGTTTTAACATGAGAAATCCACATCTAAGCTGAACCTAAAAAGCGAAACCATGTTAAACAAAAACAACGAGTATCATTAAAGCATAAAAGAATATAGCACTATTAGCATAGCATAGTCTTTCAGTCCCGCCTCAAAACCCATCTCTTCAACTCTGGGTGTTTCTCAATGTCGAGTAAAGCTGCTCCAGAGCCACTATTTCAAGGATGCTACGTCATCGAGTGCCGCCGAAGTACTGTTCCAATCTCCAGCATACTTGGAAATCTACCGAGCCCGGCGTACTCCGTTTGGAGAAATATCGAGGCTGCACATGAGTAGACTCCGCGGTCTTAAAATCCCCACAATGCTTTGCGCACGGACCAATTTCCCCAAATCTGTGGTGGAAGATGTAAGGCGGGGCCTCTCATATGACACACACCTGCACACTTGCTAGCGTGTTCCACTTCCGAATGCCAGGAAGTATTCTTGCCTTGCTTCTGAAGCAAGATGCTCGGCAGACATGTGCTACCAAGCAAGCGCACTCGCGATTGAGAAACACCCAGGCCGTTTCTCAATCGCGAGGATGCTGGCTTGATAGCACACCCGAGCCGAGCATCTTGCTTCAGAAGCAAGGCAAGAATACTTCCTGGCATTCGGAAAACGAAGAGTGGAACAGGCTAGCAAGTGTGCAGGTGTGCGTCATATGAGAGGCCCCGCCTTACATCTTCCGCCACAGATTTGGGGAAATTGGTCCGTGCGCAAAGCATTGTGGGGATTTTAAGGACGCGAAGTCTACCCATGTGCAGCCTCGAAATTTCCCCCAAACCAAGGACGCGGCCTCGGTGGAATTCCAAGTATGCTCCGGACCGAACCCTGTGTCCCATTATAAAAAATAAAAAAAATTATTTACTGGCATTGATCCGGACCAGTGACCTTGTATAAAGTTCACAAGTGGACCTTTAATAAAAAGGTTTGAGTACCCCTGCTGTAAAGCATCTTTGAGTTGTAGAAAATTATTAACAACACAGTTGGCCCCTTTTCTCCGACTAAATAAGGGTTCACCAGGTGAAATCAGTTTATTGGAGGGTTTGCTGTATTCACCTCGCTATATTTTCGTTTCTTCGGGACTGTGCAGTAACGTTACGTGGTTATGAACTGGCCCCCGTGTTGCTTTTTTATCGAGGTTGGCGCCAAGAAACATCCGAATGCAACATAAAAAGACACAGCTAGAAAGCAGGTTCACTGCAGACTCTGCCACTCACTTCTAATAGGTGATAAGTGATGATAGAGAGGGATTATTTATTATAGTTTTTTAGGAAAATGTTACTCATCGTACCTTAAGAAAATATGCAAAATATCAAGTTTCAAGACTCATTACATTTTTACCAGCTGACAAATGTGTTTTGGTTGATCTCGCGCATCAACAAGAACCACACGTACATACAGTGACCACCTTGAGAGATACAAATCAAACCTTTGTGACCCTCCAACCAGCACATGTTTAATACTTTCAGTGATCAAATGTATTGATCATGTCATTTTCTATTGGAACGATAGACAGACAGATACAAACACACTCATCCATTCACTGTTTTTGAAATACTGAAGACAAACCGAATTCATACAACTCTATAAATTCATAGTTTTAAATTGAGTTAAAGTCCACCTATTATGCAAAATCCACTTCTCCATGTCTCTTCTACATCAACATGTGTCCCCTCTGTGGGGACACATGTTGATGTAGAAGAGACTCTGGAAGTTTCAGGAGAAAAGATTCTCTCTCTTTTTGTCCTGATCCATTTATATAAAAACCTGTCTGAAAATGAGCTGATCAGATTTTGTTATGATAGTCAAGAAAACTCTCCTGGTGAATTTTATTCAAATTCCAACAACATGTACCCCTCCCTCATCAACCTTCAAGTTTAGCCTCAGTAGGGTGGTCCTTAAAATTGAAAGTCGGAAAGTCTAAGCTCCAACCCCCAGAATTCATTCTAGAATGGCGCATTTCCACCGCAGGCCTCGCTCGACTTAGTATGGTTTTGTTAGGCCTTGTTAGGCCTTGTTAGGCCCAGCTCACTTTAATGCTGCGCTTCCATTACAGTTTAGGAACTGGGGTAGTATCTATAGTAACGCAGTGTAGGCGGAGCCGTGACGTCATCTTCAATGAGAACCCCAGAAAAACAACATCAGCCGTTAGCTGTTAGCACTCAGAGCTAACAGCTCCTCATATATGTTCAGAAACTAGACAAAAGTTAAACAAGTACACACCACAGACTGTCTGTGTCATGGCGAATACAGTCGCTGGTTTATTTATGTCTGTATAGGCCGTTGTTGTGAGTGTGGACGGAGCATATACTGCGTTAGCTTTGCCGATCTCCATTCAGAAAACATGCATTTTAAAAGGTTTTTCGCCTGCCGTCTGTCTGCAGACTTGTCAAAGCATTAATTCATGGTTTTTACTAACCGGTATCAGTATGTTGTTACTTCGGCATCATTTTGAAACGTGTATTACAATTAAATCACGGTCAAATATGTCCATCTTGTTGTAGTTGTAGCCCCCTTGCCAGCGATGCTCTCTCTAGTTTAGCATACTCAGCCCGACTCAGCCCTGTTTGTTGGCCCCGATAGAACCACGATTTTGTCGGGCCAGAAAAAAGGTGAAAAAGTGGCCCCGGGCCGGAACTAGGCATAGTGGAAACGCAACCAAAAACGGGCCCGGCACGACATGGCACGCTTAAACCGCACTCCGCGCCATGGTGGATATGCGCCATTAGTCAAGAAAAGGGGGTTGGAGCTTAGACTTTCCGACTTTCAATTTTAAGAACCACCCTAATTGTATATATCTGAGACCTATAATATATTGATGAAAAACAGTACAACAGGGGACCTTTAAGAGAAATAAGCGCTTCACAGTTTTATGTTAATAAGAGACATTCTGTTTTACTACCCAGTCTTATGTCCGGCCTGTCAGCCATGGACACCAAGGCCAGCGGTCGGCTGGGTTTCCTGACCATCACCTACTACCTGTGGACGACCTTCATCGCCGTCATCGTCGGCATCGTGCTGGTCCTCGTCATTCACCCAGGCACGGGCACAGAGAAAGATGGCCACCATTCACATTCAGGGCCTGTTATGACCTCTGCTGATGCTCTGCTGGACCTCATCAGGTAAAGATTTAAAGACAGAATAAATCTCTCTTTTTGACCAAGTGAACATTGTGCTGGAAATGCTGTCATTCGAAAACATTGACCTTACTTATGTGCCTTTAATCCACGATTCCCTACCCGCTCTACACGCTGCTCTGTACCTGACCTCTGACATGATTTAATATAGCTCTTCTATTAGGAACAACATTTTACAGGCATGTGAGGAAACCTGTGAGGCTGTATTTAGACACATCAAATGTTATGAGCTGAATGCTAACGTCAGCATGCTAACGTGCTCACAATGACAAGGTAACAGTGGTAACAAAAATAAACAAATCAGGCTTTCCTGGTAAACAGATGTCCTCCCATTTGTTGCGTGTTCCTAATCTGATTTCTGAAACATAGAGAACAGAGTGACATACTTGGGGTCTCTGCTATTTTTGGAGAAGATGTGAAGGCTGGAAACGTATTGCCCACCTTCACTTCATCCATTAGACGGAGATAATCCCCCTCTTGGTAAGGGGCTTTACAGGAAAATCCAGATTTTCCACTCCATCTTGTTAGTTTTGTCTTCCAGGATAAGGATTTGCGAAACCAGTACACACAAATTAAATCCAATACAGACCCAGTTCTGAGCCTTCGCTTCCTCACGAACAGGAAGCTCCCTAATCACAAAATATAAAAGGATCAGTTTCAAATCATGGTAGCTGAAAATAAAGCACTCGCAACAAAACAATGTGAAGCCAGAAATCATGAAATGGTCCCGAAATAAGCTATCTAAAAATGTGGTTTATTGGGACATTACGTTTAAATGAAAACAGAAGCAAATTCGAAATAAATTATAACAATTGATTACAGCAATCACTATCTGAATCTAGACCTTTTTGTGAAAATGGGGAGACTTCTCGACATTCAATTAATAAAGAAGGAAGAACAATGTCCTTGTGACACACGTGCAGTGTAACTCTTACGAGGCAGGTCGGCTAAAAATAGGGAGACACTTAATTGTGTTTATCTGTTAATCCAGCACTTGCTCAGAAGGTCCTCCTTGTGCCGTGTCACGCTGGACAGAGACTTCAGTCTGGCGTGTGTCCTCAGGCTTACTGCATGTCCATTCAAGTCAAAGGTCGACTAATACCTCCTTCTTAAACCTGAGTATTATTAGTGAGCTGTGGCTGGTGTGTATCTGATGCTCTAAGCCAAAGGTCAGGTGTACGTTTCAGTCCTCTTACGTCTTTGACAAGCTTTCTTCCTGGGTGTCATTGACGTATGCTGTTTTAATACATACTGCTCAGGATGCTGTCCCCATGTACCTTGCACCACGTGAAGGCTTTTGTGTTGTGTACATAAAATGATCCATGTAGAAAGGAAGGTCAGATTTACAAGGTTCAAGGTTCAAGGCTTTTACTAGTCATATGTACGGAGCTACAGTGTAGTTATGCTTAGGTCACAGGCTCCTCCTACAGTGCAACACAGATAATAGTGCAAGTAAATAACATAAAATAGAATATAATAGAAATAGTGCAGAATAGTCTATATACAGTAATTGGAATATTGATATATATGAGTTACAACCAGATGAATGTTATGGATGTTCTTTCAAAAGTTCAGGTGTGGGAGGAAACGGTCTCTGAGTCTATAAAAGGTTATTTCAGATGTCCTAGTATATTTGGTCATTATTTGAATGAAGCCTCCTTGTTTTAGCACAGTTGAATCGCTCTTAAAGCATTATGCTGTAAGTCAAACACTTCCTGTATCCATTTCAAATTAATAGCGGCCCTACAATTAATTCCTAACCATTGCTGTGGTGATATCTCAATCATATTCATTCAATTCATTATATATTTTTATTTAATAATAGTTTGTCAAATGAAATGAAGTATACACTAGCCATACTGTATATTCCCATACAGACATGACGTGATATATTTGTCTGTATATTATCTTTTATAGAAACATGATCCCGTCGAATCTCATTGAAGCCACTTTTCAGCAGGTGAGTGGAGGACAAGATACATTTTGAGTTGTACTTTAACATCAATGTCACATGTTAACAACCCTCTGTGGTTGTTTCATCCAAACTCCAGTACCGAACGGACCTGGTACCTATTGTACATAACTCGGATGTCAAAGAATCTCAGGCCAACTTTGTGTATGTCATGCCCGACTACCACAACCCTCAACTCGGACACCCGGTCTTTCTGGAGATCACGCCTGCGCCAGACCTCCAGTACAAAATCGTCCCGAGTACAAGCAAGGGCATGAACGTGCTGGGGATCGTCATCTTCTCCGCCACCATGGGTAAGACAATCACACAGCTGAGAATACCACAGAAAACATCTCAAAAACCTGATTTATTTAAAGGTGGGGTAGGTAAGTTTGAGAAACTGGCTCGAGATACACTTTTTGTTATATTCCATGGAATGCTCTTAACATCCTGATAGCAATGAATATCTAAAGTGCTTTGACAAAAAATCCATTAAAAAAATCTGTGGAAGCCGTAATACTGTAAAAAGCACGACCAATCATTTGAGCCGGCCCGGCTAAAATAACTGGATGGCCTACCTGCCTGTCAGCCTTCCATCTGTGCACAAACTTATCTCGTGCCCTCATTGGTCATGTGCGCGTTCGTGTGTGTTGGAGGAGGGGCTCTGTAAGGAAGTGGCAGATTTTTTCCGGTTGTGTATTTTCAAATTCTAGCGATCTCGAGCTGGTTTCTCCAAAATGACCTACCCCACCTTTAAGTAAAATCACAATGGTACTGTTTTTTTTTTAGGTCAAGCTCTTTAAAGAGTTTATAAAATGTAAGGAATGGCTTCAATGATGATTCATGAAGGCTTTATATATTGGTTATGAGCAGGGGCGGACTGGGACTACAAATACCGCTAGTAAATTGTCGACGGGAGGGTGGGGTGCTAGTGACTTATCGGACCAGCCCACATCGTCCGACCGGCCCACTTCAGTACCGGCCCCTGGTTATGAGTCATTATTGCATTCAGTAGCCTACAATATAAGCAATTGCAACTTTTGGTTAGGATTTGAAAACCCGTTTGGCTGTGGTTTACGACACATTTAGCTATTTCATTTTGATGGAAACAGGCTTATTATATTTGTACCCTTGCCAAGGTTTAAAGAGCACACGCACAGAGGTAATATTGACAAATGGCCCCGATATAATAATATTTTTCCAGATGCTATCTCAGTAACCTTTTGCTAATGTGGTCTGGGAAGTTGAAGTTTAAATAACTTTATATACATTGGTTGTGCAGTCCTTTTCGGAGGAAGAGGGTTAGTGCTGCTGTACGATCTGTATAGTTTTACTTTATTTTCTAATCAAAATACTATTTCTGTGAAATATTGGATACTTGTATTTCTTTGGGCACTCTGTTTTTTTGTTATTTCACATTTAATCTTTAAATGGAAAGTAATATCGGCTGTTTGGTTAATGAAGTGAAATAAAAAGGTACACAATTTCTCACTAAAAACTATAGGAGAATAAGTATAAAGCAGTCAATGTATTTATTATTTAATGTCAAATCTTAATCTGGAAGTAAGTATAAATTAACCAAAAATATTATTACTTAAGTCAGTTCAGTGCTGAAGAAGTAACTAACTTACATTTTCGATTGTCGGCATGATAACCAGCCAAAGTTGGTAATTTATCTGATCTATAAAGCATTTGTTCATAATTTATGAACCATTAATGATGTAGTTATAAACCCTTTTTAGGGGTAAATTGTAAGACAATGATACCACATGTGCTGTGTTGTCTCAGGTCTTCTGCTCGGGAAGATGGGAGAACGTGGAGCTCCGTTGGTCAACGTGTGCCAGTGCGTCAACGAGTGCGTCATGAAGATTATCAACGCTGCGATGTGGTACGTCTGTGTTCGTGTGTTCGTGTGTTCGTGTGTTCGTGTTCTCTCTCTCTCTCTCTCACACACACACAAACACACACATGTGTCGTGTAAATGTAAAGACAAACAGATTATGTCTAAAAATAAGTCTCACCGCAGCTCATGGAAGAGTGCTTCCTGCTTTTCACAGGAGCTGGAGGGTCCACTTTCTCCCATTCAGAGTATTAGCGAGCTGATACTGGAGGATAAGGCTCACGGTCAGTGAAAGGGTCTGATAGGGTCAGACACTATAAGTCACTATACATCTCCTTAATGGCCTGGTTTTGTGCACAGGGGAATTGGAAATAGGAGAAAAAGAGCATTCCCCCAAAATGTTGACTTGTCTTATTTGTGACATGATCATACATAATACGTGTCGCAAAGGCAGGATGTGTTAATCTTGAGGTTCTGCCATGGATGCTATTTGAGAAGTGGACGTAGCCACCGTTGATTCACCCATTGGTTTGTGAACAGAAGCTTTGAAAACTCAAATTTGGCATCTTGGCTTTTTGGAACCAGACGTGACACAATAGAGTGGAATAAATGACATGCAAACGCCAACATTATAAGGCTCCCGAGATACTAGAGTAACTTATATCAACCGAAAAAGCACTGTGAAAGGGTTAAAAACTAGAAACTAGAAAATACATAGCTTACTCTGTGTAAGCAACCTGTCAATCACAAGGCATGCCTAAAGCATATCTTGATTATCATCTATTTTAGTCTAAATAGGATCATAATTTAAAGAAAAGTATGTATTGAAGAGGACTTGAAACTGATCATTGAGGCCATAAACTTTTAAAAATGTTTTCTGAGGTAATAAGTGAGAAGTCAAATTTAGTTTTATACAATCAGACGCCTTTTTTGCAACCAGACGAATAGCCCCCTGCTTTGGCCTTCTGTAGCCTTTTTATTTAATTTGATAATATACAATCTTAATGTTGAAGTATAAAGAAACCAAAAATATAATAACGTGTAAGTGAGCACATTGCGGAAGTAAATGTATTAGCGATTGAGACCATAAACGTATTCAGTAAACTGCGGTAATTATTCAAGTGAGATGGCCTATCATTTCCTCATAGGCTTTTACACAATTGGACTTGTTTTGTGGAACTAGTGGAATAGCTCCTTGTTGCTCATTTAAAACAATGGACGTTTAATGCACTTCCACATTGCCTTCATAATTATAATCTCACCTTCTTGCAGGTACTTCCCCTTCGGCATCGTGTTCCTCGTGGCGGGGAAGATCCTGGACATGCAGGACCCGGCCCACCTGGGGGAGAAGCTGGGCATGTACTTCATCACGGTGCTCTCCGGTTTGTTCGTGCACGGCCTCATCCTGCTGCCTCTCTTCTACTTCTTCTTCACCCGAAAAAACCCCTTCGCCTACATCAGAGGGCTGCTGCAGGCTCTCGTCATTGCACTGGCCACGTCATCCAGGTAAGGTTGTTTTTCTTTCTTTTAAACAACATAGTTACAAGACACGCCATACCTTACACAAACTTACATACAAAATGGGAAAAACAGAGGCAAAGACAAGACAGGACATCATTTAATTTTTTTTTTTTTATTGAAATATATAATAAAAATAAAAGACATTAAATGAAATGAAATGAAAATAAAATAAAAACAAAAGCAATTGGGCAGTAGCAACATTATCCTAAAAAGTGTTCATAGTCACAGCAGTTTACTTTACTTTTCCTTTCAACCAGATCGCTCTCATGGATTCCCATTGTTATGTCTTAGCATGTTTGACACATTCCCTAACAGTTGAGTAAACGGGCCCCAAACCCTATCAAAGGGTAAGGTTGCTTAATAAATAGTACAAAATACGCACCATAAGTTCTGGTTGCTTACATGGTAACTTCACTAAGTCACGGATCGCTTCCCTGGTAATATTATGGGGGTCAAAAAACATCCATCTCTCCAAAACATATATGAGCAGTCCATTATTAGACAGGCACAAACAAAATGGTCTGATCCCATTCACAAACTCCACCCAGAATTCCAGCTCCTACCGTCTGGTGGAACGTTCAGGGTTCCCAAGATCAGGCTGAACCGCTATGAGCACTCATTCCTGCCTATGTCCTTTAAAGGTCCTCTATTATCCTGTTTTTCATCAATATATTACAGGTCTCAGATATATACAAGTCTCTGAAGTGTTTGGCTCCAAACACCAAACAGATCATTGCAGCATTACCCATAATCCCCTCTGTTTCAGCCCTGAAGTGCTGATTCTCTGTCTGTTACTTTAGATGAAAATAAGGAGCCCCTCCCCACGCCCCTCTGAGAGAGATTTGGTTACAAAGAACACAATGGTGCTCTAGGAGGAGATGCAGGTGATAAGGTGGTGGGGGGGGGTTACCTTGGTTGGTGATTGGCTAATGGCTACACAAGCCAAAACATCGTTATGACATCATAAAGTGTCCAAAATCTGATCAGCTCATTTTCAGACAGGTTTTTATAAAAATGGATCAGGACAAAAAGAGAGAGAATCTTTGTTCCTGAAACTTTCAGAATCTCTTTCCACAGAGGGGGGGACACATGTTGATGTAGAAGAGACATGAAGAAGAGGGGACACATGTTGATGTGGAAGAGACATGAAGAAGAGGGGACACATGTTGATGTAGAAGAGACATGAAGAAGAGGGGACACATGTTGATGTGGAAGAGACATGAAGAAGAGGGGACACATGTTGATGTAGAAGAGACATGAAGAAGAGGGGACACATGTTGATGTAGAAGAGACATGAAGAAGAGGGGACACATGTTGATGTAGAAGAGACATGAAGAAGAGGGGACACATGTTGATGTAGAAGAGACATGAAGAAGAGGGGACACATGTTGATGTAGAAGAGACATGAAGAAGAGGGGACACATGTTGATGTAGAAAAGACATGAAGAAGAGGGGACACATGTTGATGTAGAAGAGACATGAAGAAGAGGGGACACATGTTGATGTAGAAGAGACATGAAGAAGAGGGGACACATGTTGATGAAGAAGAGACATGAAGAAGAGGGGACACATGTTGATGTAGAAGAGACATGAAGAAGAGGGGACACATGTTGATGAAGAAGAGACATGAAGAAGAGGGGACACATGTTGATGAAGAAGAGACATGAAGAAGAGGGGACACATGTTGATGAAGAAGAGACATGAAGAAGAGGGGACACATGTTGATGTAGAAGAGACATGAAGAAGAGGGGACACATGTTGATGAAGAAGAGACATGAAGAAGAGGGGACACATGTTGATGAAGAAGAGACATGAAGAAGAGGGGACACATGTTGATGAAGAAGAGACATGAAGAAGAGGGGACACATGTTGATGTAGAAGAGACATGAAGAAGAGGGGACACATGTTGATGTAGAAGAGACATGAAGAAGAGGGGACACATGTTGATGTAGAAGAGACGTGAAAAAGTGGATTTTGCATAATAGGCAACCTTTAAATGTTGGCCATGAGGGTTGTGCAATAGGTCGACATTGTCAGTATGTGCGTCTGTGTATTGTGTTAGTGATGAGTGATGATATGTGTATATGTACATGTATGCTGAACTGCAGGATGGAGTCCAGAACAAATGTCCTTACGGGGATAATAAAGTATATCGTATGGTATCATATGGTATGTTTGTGATTCTCTGCAGCTCTGCCACATTGCCCATCACCATGAAGTGTCTCCTGGAGAACTGTGGCGTGGACCGGCAGATCGCTCGCTTCGTGCTGCCGGTGGGAGCCACCATCAACATGGACGGGACGGCGCTGTACGAGGCAGTGGCGGCCATCTTTATCGCTCAGGTCAATGAGTATGACTTGGACTTTGGCCAGCTGGTCACTATTAGGTGAGAAGAAACACTGAGCTCATTATCCTCCCATCGGTTGTGTCGAGAAAACTAATTAGATTTGAATCCCTTACACACAGTGCTGGAAGAAGTACTCAGATGCTTTACTAAAGTACAAATACCATGGTCTCAAAATACTCCACTAAAAGTAACTGATTTCAAAATGTTACTTAAGTAAAAGAACAAAAGTATAAAAAAGTTCTCATTCTGCACAAAGGCCCATTTGAGAATAATATAAAGTACAGAAGAGTACAGAGTACAGCATAATGATAAGCTAAATGTACTTCAAATATCAAAAGTAAAAGAACTCATTATGCAGAATGGATATTTTCACAGTATTATATTAGCATTGTTTTCATACATGTAAGTGCATTTTAGCAGTGTCGTTTGTCAATGTGGACTACATTTAGATACTAGATACTGCGTAGATAAGTAGTACAGTACTGCATTATACCACATCAGCATGTTTTTAAATGCACAAAGTAACTGTGAGTGTTAAAATAAATGTATAGGAGTAAAAAGTATAATATTCACCTCTGAATTGAAGTGGAGTAGAAGTACAAATAAAGTTGAGTGAATTGACTTCCCTTTACACCACTGCTTACACACTACTGTTGTCTCTTCAGTATCACGGCAACAGCAGCCAGTATCGGGGCGGCTGGGATACCTCAAGCCGGTCTGGTTACCATGGTGATTGTCTTGACCTCTGTGGGGTTGCCGCCTGCCGACATCTCGCTGATCGTGGCCATTGATTGGGTCCTGTGAGTACTAATGCAAACTGAATATAAACAGAGCACTAGAGGGTCTTAAAGTAGATTTTCTTAGTGGATCTTAGAACAGCAAACTTCCTTGAAATGTTTAAAAGCAAATTAAATCTTTTTAATATGGCTTTTAATTTGGGTTAACTTTCAATTGTCACTAGTATCATTGTCCATGTTTTACTGTATTTTTTCTGTTTTGCTTTTATTTTAACCTATTTTAATTTCTTGTCAGCTTTAATTCACGGGGATCACTAATTTAATATTATTTTAATATTGTTGTGTTCTGTAAAGCACTTTGGGCTGATTGGTGAATGAAAGGTGCTATACAAAGAAAGTTTATTATTATATTATTATTATTATTATTATGATTTTGGGACGATGTGCAAACTGTTGTTGTCTTTTGTTCTCAGTGATCGGTTCAGGACGATGATCAACGTTCTCGGCGATGCCTTAGCGGCGGGGATTATGTGTCATTTATGTAAGAAGGACTTTGAGAGAGCAGCTACTACTGTTGCTGTCCCTGATCCCACTCCTAATCCCAGCAATGGAGGCAGCTCCATCCGGGTAAGAGGAACATTTACATTAGTTTAGGTTAAAACAAGTGCTTGTGAAGATTTTAAACCTCAACTTGAAGATAAGATAAGAAGTACTTTATTGATCCCAATTTGGGAAATGTTTGCGTTGCAGCAGCATATTTATATATATTTCTGTATGTGGCCCTCGGTGAAAAAAGTTTAGACCCCCTGTCCTAGATGGACACCTGTAGAAAGCATACAAACAATGTCTGCACACTGAGTTTATCAGGACTTTGTGTGTGTTTGGCTTTTTCCTTTTAAACTGATTTAGTCAATATACCTTTTTTCATGTTGAAATTGTAAATAATATGTATTTAAAAATGTCTTTCGTCTACCATGTTAACTAACTGTATTGTCTGTGACTTTTTCTCCTCAGAGAGACACGATAATCTCCTTTGGTAATCAGAGCATGGCGATGTCTGACGCTCCTCTGCTCACACACCGCTGCGACTACGTGTACGATGTGGAGGGCGAGACGGTGCTGGAGAGACCGGTGGCCTGCTACAACCTCTGCCACGTCTGACACACGTTCACATCACGGACAGTCAGGGATACTGCCTTCTGAAGCACAAATTCACCTCTTTGGATCAAAGGAACTATCAACATCCTGGTCGGTTTCTCTTCTGAATGAAACCAACGTTTGAGTAATGAGGTGTCAGGGTTTAGCGGCTTTAATGGATTTTGCCTGTGCCATGCCGAAAACAAAAAGAAACTTTAGTATTTGATATAGTGTTTTTCCATTCAGTTTCAAAACGGAGGAAGTGTCACGTTTAAACTAAACCACTCCTAACGCACCAGTAGGCAGGATATTGGGTTGCAACAACATACATTTAATGGGTATTAGTGTCAGTAACAGTTAGACATTCACGGTAGGCCTGTCCTAATGAAGTTTGATCAAGGTTTTAAGTTGCCTTAACGTGAACTCAGTTTTGACAATAATTCTGAGAGCTCGAAAGAAAACAAAAACTGAGCAAAAGTTTGTCATTGAAGTGAACCTTTATGTTAGACATGGTATTTATAGATAGATTTTAAAGCAACATTAATGTAAAACAATATGTACATCGACCTAGAGAGATCAAGTGTTTTTTATACCAATGCTTTTAATTTTCTGTTTTTTTAATAAAACCGGAAGTACAAAACCATGTCATTCTCCACTTTCTTTCAAACGAATGTCTTAAGTTGTGTTCTTATGAGGTGAGGAGAAAGCAGCTATGACACCTTGTGAAATGCTGCAGAATGTGTACTCAGTGTTGATGGTAGTCGGTTAAAGTAAGAGACATGTCTCCCCCATCTGGTCTCAGAAGGTAATCACTGAGGGGTCATGCTGATGAGAAACAGGAAATACAACTAAAGTCCAACTGTGCATACTTTGGTCAAGAAAACCACTTACAACACATTTGAAATAAAGTTCTAGACAGACTTTTGTTTCAATTCTGAAAAGCCACCATGTTTTTATTGAAATGATCCAATGTTAGAAGACATTAAATGGACTTCAACTTAGTGCCCTTAAAACCAAGAAAACAAACAAATCCAGTCAAACAGTTGAATAAGTAACAAGTATGACCACATACGTTGTCAAATAAATATGTGCGCCTCCTCTGGTGTAAAATACACCATTCCCACTTATAAATTAAGGCGGATCGCAGTTTATTCAGACTGCCCCTACAACAAATGTACTTGCATGAATTATGCAATTCCAACTAAAACTGCTGAAAAAACTAAGCAGTAACAAACGTCAGTAGAAAAAAAGAAATTATAAAAAAAACGACGACAGTCCAAGACTACATCAACTTTCTATTAAGTGCTTTGAGCAAGTCACAAAATATTGCACAAAGTTAAGGATTGTGACACAAAAATAACATGAAATTAAAAAAAGCACTTTTAAGGAGTGAAATCTGAAGCTTGTTATGGGAATACTCTTCAGATGGTGCACACATTAAATTAAGTGTCAGGGGAATTATTCATGAAAAAGGGTTCAAGGTGAATCCTAAAATGTGTGAGCAGGTGTTCCCTAAAAATGATTTAGTGTATTGTAACCGTCACCAAGTGGTTCTAATGTTCACCTTGGGGTTTAAATGAAACACAATTACAGTACCAATGGAAACGGTTGAACATCCTTAAAGAACAAGACAAGCTAAAACCCAAGATCTACATTATTTAAAGAGGAGCTTTGATATGCAGATGACCTTACCTAAACGGATGATATAAGTGTTTCACACAGCGGGTAAACAAAGTGTAAAAGTTTCAAATGAACACTACACATACTGGACTATTGAAAGTGAAACTAGTTCTGTTGTGCATCAGTGGCATTCGGTATCTATTCCTCAAGCTAACCAATCAAATGTATCTTAATGTACATTTCCCCATTGACTTAGTCATGTCAGTGACTAGTTGTAGAACTCACTGAAATGCAAAAGGACAGCTTACAGTTACAGATCGTGTTATTATTATTCAGTGGTTTAAACGGCAATTTCTATCAAAGTTGCTTCATGAAATGTCTTTAGGACTTTCCTTCAAGTGTCTGTGTACAGGTAACATCATATTTTTTAGCAACTTACATTGGTCCATGTTTTTATAGGCCGTCTCGGAGGTGTCAAAGCCTCCCGAGGAAACACTTTCTGTAACAGCTTTTATCAAACACTGCAGATTTGGTACGAGAAAAATAATAGAAACAAAACTCAAACCAAATCTTTAAAAAAAAAAAAGAAAACAAACCAAACAAAACTTTCGGCAAAAAGAAATAAAATTTAATGGTTTATGTTCAAAGTGAAACTACCAAAACAAAAGAAAGGAAGAAAAAGAAATCAAAAAATGAGATAATTAACAAAAGGCCATTCATTTCGCTCCAAACTTGAGATGAGCACTGGCAAAAACAAGTTGGTAACAGATAAGAAAACGTTGCCTTTCGAACAAAAATAAAAATAAAAAAACGGCATACTGAGACAAAGTGATGTTGCTCTCCGTCAGATATACCATAGTACCTTCGAACGTCAACATAAGGTATATATCTACCTTAATCTGGTTTGTCTACAGTAAAGGGATCAAATCTCTCCCTGCCTTTGGTCCATCTTATTCTCATACTCATCGACTTGGGTTCATATTCAACAGGTTTCTCCTGAAATGCAACTTATAATGAAAAGACACTTTACACGGGGATAACAAAAACAGAAACATTTCCCTACAGAGTTAGTCGTGTTTTAAAACGGTTGGAGGATGAGCGAGAGTCCCGGATTAACATCAAAAAGACTGATATTCAAAGTAACCGAAAGCAGATAAGTTAAAAGTGCTTTGCTCTTAGATTGACTCGAGACGGTGAGCAGTGCTGTAGGTCTGAGTCTCCACTGGATGATCGTTTAAGGCTTCTAGCTCTACTTATGACGAGGATCCAGAACAGAGCACTGCTTTTCCAAAACAACCACTGGCAAGAAAAATGTCCGTCGCATTTTTTTTTTTTTTCATCCACTAACATGTCAACACTTTGAGAACAATGTGGGACCTTCCTTATTTTTTTTTGTGCAGTGCTCAGAACCATTTGCCGGCCTCCTTTATCTAGTCCCCACAGTTAAACATGCAACAGATACGGACAGTATTTTTAGATAATTTTCAAAAAGTTATCCGGGGGAATCATGGGATTTCACCCTCTCCACCCCCCCACTAAACATTAAAACTACCGAGTGTCTCTCAAGCCTCTAGCATGAGTATAAAAAGATGAGAAAAAAAAAAGCCTCAACACTCTTTTAGACAAGTACAAAGGTGCAGAAGAGTGAACATCTCGTTTAACTCTGAATACACTAAAAATCAAACAGATGTGCCAGACTTTGAAAATGCGTACTTCTGCTCTCTGCTATAACAGCCTGGCGCAGGTCTCCTCCATCTCTCCTCTACACCCGATTGTCCCGCTCTCTTTACTTGTGGCCCTTGCTGGTCTTAAAGGACACTTGCAGCATCTTGTCTCCGAGCCGGTAGCCGTTCAGGCTGGCGATGGCCATGGCCGCCTCCTCGTAGTTGGACATGGTGACGAAGCCGAAGCCCTTGCACTTGTTGGTGTTGAAGTCTCGGATCACCTTGACGTTGGTGACGGCGCCGAACGGGCCGAACATCTGCCAGAGGATGCTCTCGTCGGCGTCCTGGCCCAGGTTGTAGATGAAGATGCACCAGCCGGAGTTGGAGTTCCCGGGAACATTGGCGTTCCCCACGCCGCTCATGTGATCAACGCCCATCGGAGAAAACCTGGACAACAGGAGAGTTTAGAGGACTTGTGGATTCAACAATAACTCTGAACTCAAAGAGACTATTTTTTCCTAATAAAACTGTTTAATTATATAATGACCCGTTTATGTAAACAACATGGGCTCTCCTGCTATATGACAGGACTTGGCTGAAGTGTCTGCTAGTGTTAAAGGTCCCCTATTATACTGTTTTTCATCAATATATTATAGGTCTCAGATATATACAGAACATGTCTCTGAAGTGTTTGGCTCCAAACACCAAACAGATCATTGCAGCATTACCCATAATCCCCTCTGTTTCAGCCCTGTTTCCAAAGTGCTGATTCTCTGTCTGTTACTTTAGATGAAAATAAGGAGCCCCTCCCCACGCCCCTCTGAGAGAGATTTGGTTACAAAGAACACAATGGTGCTCTAGGAGGAGATTCAGGTGATAAGGTGGGGGGGGGTTACCTTGGTTGCTGATTGGCTAATGGTTACACAAGCCAACACATTGTTATGACATCATAAAGTGGCCAAAATCTGATCAACTCATTTTCAGACAGGTTTTTATATAAATGGATCAGGACAAAAAGAGAGAGAATCTTTGTTCCTGAAACTTTCAGAGTCTCTTTCCACAGAGGGGACACATGTTGATGAAGAAGAGACATGAAGAAGAGGGGACACATGTTGATGTAGAAGAGACATGAAGAAGAGGGGACACATGGTGATGTAGAAGAGACATGAAGAAGAGGGGACACATGGTGATGAAGAAGAGACATGAAGAGGAGGGGACACATATTGATGTAGAAGAGACATGAAGAAGAGGGGACACATGTTGATGTAGAAGAGACATGAAGAAGAGGGGACACATGGTGATGTAGAAGAGACATGAAGAAGAGGGGACACATGGTGATGAAGAAGAGACATGAAGAGGAGGGGACACATATTGATGTAGAAGAGACATGAAGAAGAGGGGACACATGTTGATGAAGAAGAGACATGAAGAAGAGGGGACACATGTTGATGTAGAAGAGACATGAAGAAGAGGGGACACATGTTGATGTAGAAGAGACATGAAGAAGAGGGGACACATGTTGATGTAGAAGAGACATGAAGAAGAGGGGACACATGTTGATGTAGAAGAGACATGAAGAAGAGGGGACACATGTTGATGTAGAAGAGACATGAAGAAGAGGGGACACATGTTGATGTAGAAGAGACATGAAGAAGAGGGGACACATGTTGATGTAGAAGAGACATGAAGAAGAGGGGACACATGGTGATGTAGAAGAGACATGAAGAAGAGGGGACACATGGTGATGTAGAAGAGACATGAAGAAGAGGGGACACATGTTGATGTAGAAGAGACATGAAGAAGAGGGGACACATGCTGATGTAGAAGAGACATGAAGAAGAGGGGACACATGTTGATGTAGAAGAGACATGAAGAAGAGGGGACACATGTTGATGAAGAAGAGACATGAAGAAGAGGGGACACATGTTGAAGAAGAGACATGAAGAAGAGGGGACACATGTTGATGTAGAAGAGACATGAAGAAGAGGGGACACATGTTGATGTAGAAGAGACATGAAGAAGAGGGGACACATGTTGATGTAGAAGAGACATGAAGAAGAGGGGACACATGTTGATGTAGAAGAGACATGAAGAAGAGGGGACACATGTTGATGAAGAAGAGACATGAAGAAGAGGGGACACATGTTGATGTAGAAGAGACATGAAGAAGAGGGGACACATGTTGATGTAGAAGAGACATGAAGAAGAGGGGACACATGTTGATGTAGAAGAGACATGAAGAAGAGGGGACACATGTTGATGTAGAAGAGACATGAAGAAGAGGGGACACATGTTGATGTAGAAGAGACATGAAGAAGAGGGGACACATGTTGATGTAGAAGAGACATGAAGAAGAGGGGACACATGTTGATGTAGAAGAGACATGAAGAAGAGGGGACACATGGTGATGTAGAAGAGACATGAAGAAGAGGGGACACATGGTGATGTAGAAGAGACATGAAGAAGAGGGGACACATGTTGATGTAGAAGAGACATGAAGAAGAGGGGACACATGCTGATGTAGAAGAGACATGAAGAAGAGGGGACACATGTTGATGTAGAAGAGACATGAAGAAGAGGGGACACATGTTGATGAAGAAGAGACATGAAGAAGAGGGGACACATGTTGAAGAAGAGACATGAAGAAGAGGGGACACATGTTGATGTAGAAGAGACATGAAGAAGAGGGGACACATGTTGATGTAGAAGAGACATGAAGAAGAGGGGACACATGTTGATGTAGAAGAGACATGAAGAAGAGGGGACACATGTTGATGAAGAAGAGACATGAAGAAGAGGGGACACATGTTGATGTAGAAGAGACATGAAGAAGAGGGGACACATGTTGATGTAGAAGAGACATGAAGAAGAGGGGACACATGTTGATGTAGAAGAGACATGAAGAAGAGGGGACACATGTTGATGTAGAAGAGACATGAAGAAGAGGGGACACATGTTGATGTAGAAGAGACATGAAGAAGAGGGGACACATGTTGATGTAGAAGAGACATGAAGAAGAGGGGACACATGTTGATGTAGAAGAGACATGAAGAAGAGGGGGACACACGTTGATGTAGAAGAGACATGAAGAAGAGGGGACACATGTTGATGTAGAAGAGACATGAAGAAGAGGGGACACATGTTGATGTAGAAGAGACATGAAGAAGAGGGGACACATGTTGATGTAGAAGAGACATGAAGAAGAGGGGACACATGTTGATGTAGAAGAGACATGAAGAAGAGGGGACACATGTTGATGTAGAAGAGACATGAAGAAGAGGGGACACATGTTGATGTAGAAGAGACATGAAGAAGAGGGGACACATGTTGATGTAGAAGAGACATGAAGAAGTGGATTTTGCATAATAGGTGACCTTTAAGCTATCATCAATTGCTCAGCTCATAAGGGTCTGAAATGAATAGAAAAACAGAGCAATGGCAGCCATCATGTACTGAGTGTATGCAAACATTAACAACTTCTCTCACCTGAAGCGCTGCGCCTGGTGGTGCACGGGCCCTCCGAAGCGCCGGGACTGGTTGTGGTAGAGCTGAGAGATGATCTGCGTGTTCTTCACCTGGTTTGGGTTGGCTGCAAACTTCACTGTGATTGGCTCAGCGGCTCCGGGTGGTTTTTGCCCATTCAGAGTTTTGACGGCTTCCTCTGCCTCCGCCCGCTTGTCAAACCGGATGAAAGCCACCCCGCGGGAAGCGCCTGGGAACAAGAGAGCGGGGCGGTGACTGTCTATTCTGACTGACAGCCAATCGAGGCGCTTTATGTTTACTGAGAAGAGTTGGAAAAGTAAGGAGTTTATTCACCTGTCGTACCTGTGGCCTGGTCCACAAGCACACGGGAGTTAATGATGTGTCCAAAGCGTGAAAACATGTCCTCCACGTCCTTCTGGGTCATGGCCTTCGGCAGGCCGCTGATGTACAGGTTGGCATCCTTTATGGTGTCAGAGCTGGGCCGTGCGTATGAAACCTAGCAACAGGAAGCAACAATTTCCAGATTAAAACGCTACTGTTACACATGAACAAAAACAAGTAACAAAAACAAACTAGTGAAGTACGATGATACACAAATCTAATAACATTTACATTTTAGCGATTTCTTGGGATTCACAGCAGCAATTATCTGTATTTTTTTTTTTTTTTTTTAAATGGACTTATTCAAGGTTTTTTCAAAACTATTCTAGTATAAAATAAAAAACTAAATACAATAATCTGTGCAGCGGTTTTAGGTATCTTCACTCTGAGCAAAACATGAAAAGCATAACAAAACATTACAGCAACAAAATGTGTTATTTTTAAAAGGAATACATTGAATTTGTCAGAAAGTGTCAAATAAAATAAAAACGTATCAGACATGTCGGGTAGGGCAGTAAGTGAGAATCACTTCCTCGCACTGACATGTTCTAGCTAGTTAGCGGACAGCACAGGAGCCACAGGAGTTACATGACATGACATCTTTGGTTTGAGAATTGTAGAACACCTTATTGCACGTTACCTTGATAGTTTTGGACTGTAGCCTTAGTCCGTTCAGTGTACTGATAGCTCTGTCTGCATCACTAGGGTTAAGATAGTTAACAAATCCGTACCCTAAACTGTGGCCTAGAGAAAAAAAAGGGAAAACAATAAAATAAAACAAAAAAAACGTTGTATAGTTTTAAAAAAAGTCTGCAAACAAATAAATATTTAAAAACAAAAACAAATCTTAACATTGCATGGTAGTTTAAACAAACAAAGAGACTGTCTACAGGACTGGTTGGAATAAATAAAACAAGCCTATGGTGGTAAAAAAAACTGAGAAAACTACTTCCCAACGCTAACAGAAAATAAATGTTTGGATTTTTTTAATATAAAAATTAGATAATAAAAAGCCAGGAGTCAGAAATCAGGCGTTCGGTGGATATCCTGCCAATAGTTTTGATTTAAAATTGAGTCATGGGCCAATATTTTCTGTGATAACGCTGAACCACCACTGCCATATTGAGAGGTTGTAACCATATCTATTTCCATTTAAAAAAACGAAAACTTGAGGTTAAGCGTCCCTCTGGTCTGTCACAGGTCTTATCACTTCAGAGAGTAGCATACCTGCGACTTTGTCTCGAATCAGCTTGGCGGACTCCACCTCTCCGATGCTGCTGAAGAGGCTCCGCAGCTCGTCCTGCGACATGCTCTGAGGCAGGTAGTTCACGATCAGGTTGGTCTTGGAGTCCTTCCCCTCGTCCCCTCCCATGTGCTCTTCGTAACCGTTCGACATGTCAAACGCCTCCTGCAGATCGGCCAGGAGGGGCGCAAAAAAAAACAGAACGAGGTAAGTACACAGGGTACGCAGAACTAGAGATGAAACCATTAGCTGGGAATTACTCGATGGTAAAACAAGTCGACAAATTGTCAAACTTTCACAGTACCCTGCTTTTAAACTGAGACGTACAGCAATCGTAATACATCGTTGCATTCTTTGTTGGTGGTGAAATAAAAAAAACACATTTATTTTAGTGCTTTCCTTTAAATACTTCACTTGCACTACACTATTCTATAAAACATTCATTAGTTTAATTTGCCAAATTCTCATGGTTCTTCTGAGTATTCCAGATTCAAATGCATTTTTTAGATGCGTTATAAAAACGTGTGTGTTATACAATTAGCAGACTTGTTTGAAGCATAGGATGTGTGTGTAACGCTATCAAGTGCGGTTGAGAGGGAGAGAGTATAAAGTCAGCAGTACTTTACAGCTGCAGTGTGTGCATCTCCCCGCTGTGACCAACTTGTCCTAAGCATTTTTGCGGTGGAAAACCGTGGATGCCGTGTAATTACAGTTTTTTTAACGCAGGAGAAAACCAAGGGTTGATGCTTTAAAGGCCACACAATGGTAACTAATGATATTACAAAGGCATGTGACAGGATCTCAGCTGCAAGTCTGCGGTTAACACTAAGCCTCCTTGAAGTTTAAACGAGGGAATGCTGTGCATACGTTTTACATTTGAAAGCTTACTTTTTAACCCCAGATGATCTCAGTCACATGTCAGTCTGCAGTCTAGTCTGATAACATGACTACATAATACTTTTTAAAAATTGCTTCTGCTGTCTGTTTTGCGGACACATTTGCTGGGATCTGAAATGGAATCGGGCCTGAAAAGGAAGCCCAGCTAGCGGTTAACCTGACAGAGGTCCATTCATGCAAGAGAAGGGCTGCGATTGTGTATTCTGGTGGGTTAGACACACCAGGCGGGAGGATGAATGAGAGTCCTGTAATAAACCAGTAAACATGGGCAAAGCTGGTGGGAGCTGGCCTGCCATTTCTCTTAATGTTATCTCATTTCAATGATCAGTCATTAGTTCCAGCAAACTAAAAAGAGATCACTGTTGACAGTCGAAACATCCTTCAGGACAGGACACAGTCCATTTTTCAGTGGGATGTGAAATGTTCACTGTTCTTTCCCTAAGCTAAATACTCCTTAAATGATCTGATTATTGAAAACGAATATCATAGTAATCAATATTGATTGATATTGATCAATATAAAAAAACAGTGGGATAACAGTGTTGGTCATATTGTCCAGTCCTAATGTCACATACTGCAGTGTATACTCACTTTCATGTACTTTATGTGTCCTCTACGAACTGCCATGAAGACACTTCACTGCTCCAGAGGCTAAAGACAAAATCAAACAACTCGATCAACGTGGAAGTGAGCAAAGTTGATGTTTTAAAATCACAACATTAAGTTCTACAAGGTTGTCAACTCTCGAGGGAGTGATTTACTGATTAATTAAAAGGGAGTAACAGTACTGCCTGCTTACATCGTTTCCTGGGTGTTGGAAGTGTACATGGAAGACACTTTTGTATTTTATGTACAACTAACTGTATCAAAACAATGTGTTAGATCTGTCCGCTCACATTGCAAAAGCAGGGTACATCCGCCTCTGTATTTGCTGTGTCCATTTGACCAGTTTTAGGGCTGTAATACATGACCACAGTGTGATCATGGTGAACATAAATGATGGGGACTTTACAAACTCTGATAATTGTGGAGAAAAGCAGACATGTTTGGATCTGCACAGTTAGAGCTCATTTTAAGGAGAATACAAAAGTAAATATAATTGGTCTCCAAGGAATCAACCATACTGATTTTATTAAGTCACTGGCCAGGCCAAATGGAAAATAGGTTTGCAAGCATTTGTGTTTCACATCCAGGGAAAGAGGCGTGTCAGGTTGAAGCTGTAGTATGAGGGTTTGTATGTCAAATAGTCTGCTAAGTATAGTGGAAATATCAGCTAATGTTTCACAACTTGACCTGCTTTTTTTTGAATGAGCAACCTTACTCTAGCATGACGTTGTGTAACCTGAGCATGGGCAGCAGCTGGAGCTGTCAGAAAACCGGATAATATTTCTCCATTGCTGCAAACGGGCGACATTTCCTTCACGTGAACGTCACAGCTTTGGCCATAATAACGACTGACACTACAAATACCAACCACGTGGCTTACGGATGTCTTCTGCATGCACAGAACACTTTTTGGTTGTGCATTTCTTATTATTTGTTACAGCTGAAGGGTCTTCTACTTGGAAACGTGCAGAGGCCTGATTAGCATTGGCAAGCTAACCAGCTGCACGCTCACTCCCTCCTCTGAGAAACATGTGTCCACTCAGGTTCGACAACAACACGAAACAATGTTACCATTTTACTAAATATATAGGAAACAGATAGCCTTAATGGGAGGTAAAGTGTATGTTTTTCGTGGCTGTGTCTAGCCGGTAAGCTAACGTAAAGCACCGTGGCCCTATTTTGGAGAACGCGGATGAATGCGCGTGTGTCCCCGCGCTTAAACCCCAGCGGCCTGCTGCTGCTAACAGGCCACGGAGGCTAACATTAGCTTAGCATCGGCCCTCAGAGCTGCATGCCACTCATTGGCATTTGACTCACAAAAACACAGCGAAATATAAAAAATACAGGTGCAAAACATGTATCAATATTTAGCATTACCAGCTTTTGGGGGTAATGTTGTTGTGTCTGCTCCTTTCTTCTATTTAGTCCTTTCCTTTGCGACGTTCACTTCCCTCCAAGTCAATATCACGTAGTGAAGAAGAAACGGAGGAAGAAACAGCAGCTACGTGACAAAGCCCACCACGCCCACTCACGTCCCGCCACGCCCCTGCAGAAGAAGCGTGGTCAACAACATCCATACTGTCAACAACATCCATACTGTCAACAACATCCATACTCTCAACAACATCCATACTGTCAACATCAATCAACATTCAAGGCTTTATTGTCATGTGCACAGACGCTACAGTGTAGATATGGCAATGAGAAACTTAAGTCCCAGGCTCCTCCAACAATGCAACATGAATATATATAGGAGATAAAACAAATACAACACAATAGTCCAAGAAATAACAGAATAGAAATAAAATAGTGCAAGAGATTGTTGTAAGATGTGCAAGTAAATACAAATAAAATTGAAATAGTGCAAGAAGAGTCTGTATACACATAAATGGAATATGATATAAAGAAAAATAAGTAGCACGATGCAAACAGATTCATGTTTATGGAGGCACTTTACAGAGCTAAATGAACAGAGAAGAGTTCACACATGGATAATACAATTAAAAATACAATTATATAAGTAACTGTTAATCACAACAACAAGGTAAAACGTTGATCAGTTGAATAAACATACATATTTGAGATAGGATTGTTATATTGTTGTAATAAGAAAAAATACACAGTTCATGGTTGTATTAGTATTGTCTTATTGATGTATTATATAAATGTATTCTCATAATTATCCTGCACAATAATCAAAACTCACCTTAACTTTTTCTATTGTTCTGTTTTTTTAATACATTTTGTAGTTCATGTTCAAAATGTATGTACATGTACATGTATAGATGTCGTAATTGGAAAAAGCTTTGGCAATACTGTATGTCATAATGGTCATGCCAATAAAGCTTTTTGAAATGATAGGATGCATATTTTCTTTTTAGTGGAAAACAAAAAAATCTATTAATCTTAAATAAGATCATTTAAATCACAAGGCTTCACTTGCAAAATAAAAGGTACATTTAGGTTACGAATCCCACCAAAACAGTGATATTAAATGTATTTCTTTCTTTTCATCCCACTGACTCTGGAAATCTATAGCAGGCGTTTAACAATGTTTTGCAACAGACTTAGTATAACATGAACATTTAATAAAATAGACTAACTTCAATGTATTCTTTACTGTAAAGACGAGTATGTATCTTAGATTATGTTCGCACCACCAGACACCAAAGCAAATTCCTTGTATGTCTAAACGTACCTGGCAATAAACTTGATTCTGATTCTGATGTTTAAAGGAGAGGTGTCATGGCCATTTCCACTGATCATAATTCCATTGTTGAGGTATACTAACATAGATTTATATTGTGCATTTTTCCAAGCTCACATTGGTTTCTCATACAGCATCTCTGTAAACTACGTGTATTCACTGAATTTCACTCTCTGCCTTTAACGGCTCGTTGTAGCTCCAATAGCTCCAGCCCCCACCCTCCCTGTGAGCACAGTGTGCTCTGATTGGTCGGGACGTTGTGAATCGCGCTGAGCTCCGTGGAGGTGTTGTTTCCTTGTTTAGGATACATAGCGAAACACAGCCAAACTCATCCTGAGCACACACAAACTCACATCCGAAGTAAAAACAATAAGTGTGGCTTGATATTGAGTAAGAAAAAGGTTGATAAACGCTGTGAGAATGGGTCTGCAGAGAGAATGGGTCTGCAGAGAGAATGGGTCTGCAGAGAGAATGGGTCTGCAGAGAGAATGGGTCTGCAGAGAGAATGGGTCTGCAGAGAGAATGGGTCTGCAGAGAGAATGGGTCTGCAGAGAGAATTTCGCCTCGATCCCAACTGTCTGTTATCAGCCTGCAGCCAGGGAGGAGAAATCAGCTGAGCTGCCTGCTCCCTGCACACAGATATGTGTGTGAGGAAGTCTGTGGATTGGTCAATTTGGACCAATCAGCGGGGGCTTAACGTAACGGCTCCGCGGACGTAACGTAACGGCTCCACGGATTGGTCCATTTCGTTCCAGGTACGGCTTGACATCATGCCGTCCCGGAAGAATCAAATGGACAATGACGTATCTCCAACGAGGCGTTTTGGGGAGGTATTTTCTGTGTTAGAGTTTTACTCGCTACAGGGTGTAATTTGAGGGTTTTGACTCTGCACACCGTTTACATGCATAACAACCTTCATAACACACAAGGGGACGGGGAATAACCGGAAAAGCATGACACCTCTCCTTTAAGGCAAGTCTGTGAATCTTGGTATCAATAGTTCTTTTCAAACTAAGGTAAACAGACTTGTAAAGCTCATATTATATAAATGATGTTCAACCAATACTTTAAGGTGATTTCTGTCGTCATCACACTCTTCAAATGAGCACATTTCTTGCCATGGAGGAGTTACAATTTAAATGTTTCTTTAAATATTGGATTTAATGAGATCCCAAGAAAAAAAATGATGTGAAAATATTTATTGAGACACTCAGATTTTAGAGAACAGTGTGCAGAACAAGACATGAAATGTGTGTCAAACAAATATTAGTATTCAGATAATAAAGTGTGATCCACAGCACTGTTCAAGCTAACCAAAGGTTCAGTTGATTTTCTCTTTAGAAATGAATCATGGCAATTAAAAACAGCAGCAGTCAAAAAGTGCTTAACCACCAACGATCATGAACCGTGGAAACAACAAAATGTTGCTTTATTATCCGATCCATTATGTCATTTATCATCATTCGTTCAACAAAGCTATACCGGAGTGTTTGAAAAAAATTCAGGCACAGGCAAAAAGGGTCCTGTCCTGAGCTAAAGTAATCTTTTTGGTTTCAGAAATATCCGACTTCATTACACAACAAATTAATTACTTTTATGTCACATGCTTTGTTGTGTCGTGGAGTAAAGCTGTGATAAGTGGTGTAGCAGAGGAGAGCTCATGCTTCTGCAGCTCAGGAAAAATCCTTTAAAATCACAATTCACAATAATTGGATGAGCATTCAAACACTAGACTATGACATAATGTAGTTTGATAGTTTTTGTGCAAAGTACAAAGCAGTAACGGTGACTTTAGTTTTTGCCTAGTATTCTATATTGCATGACGGTTTGGTCAGTCATCAGCTGTGCCATCGTCAGAAACAAAACAACCTGCATGATAGGAGAAAAGAAAACATGTTGATGCTCAGGTTAACAGCCAACTTAAACAATGCTCAACGATTAACTTCTTAAACCTAGCAGACACATTGTTGTCAATGGAATATTTAAATGCAACAGTAGAAGGACTGCAGTCAACTTCGGCTATGAAAACTGTGATGTCGATTAGTCAGAGACACAACCAGAACATATTTGTCAGGTTCATGAATAGTGAAAATAATCATTAGTTGTAGCCATGGCTCAGTATATGCTGTAAATGCTCGCAAACAACTATATAAGGCATGTTAATGTTAATTGGCGACTGTGGCTGTGAGGGAGCGCAGTCGTCTTTGAACCAGAAGGTTGTTGGTTGTATCCTTGGGCAAGATACTGAACCCTGAGTTGCTCCTGGTGACTGACGGTGTGTGAGTGTGTGTGAGTGTTAGCTTCCCTAAAGCAAGTGCATGAATGAGGTGTGAATGGGTGAATGACTCGCAGTATATAAAGCGCTTTGAGGGGTCGAAAAGACCTGATAAAGCACTTTATAAGTACAGTACATTTACCATAATGCTGTGTGATGTTTTTCAATCAGGGTGCATTCAATATCAAGTATATTCAGAATAAATAGGCGGAAAAAGGTAATGCAGTCTTTCTCACCTCCACGAAAAAAACAATCGGGGTGCCCCAGATGATGAATCTCAGCACAAACTGTAAACTCTTCTCTAGCTTCACCTGGCAGCCCTGAAATAGATACACATTTGAAAAGAGTGTCCAAAAGGGGTCCAATCAGAGTCAGACATTCCTGCTGGATTTTTCGGATGTTTTCTGAGGTTATACCTGTGAGTATAGCTGCCACGGTTGGTCCACAGCGCCATTGCAGGAGGTGAAAGTAGAGTTACAACAGCTGTGGGGAACCAAGAGTCCTCCAGTGCTGTTAAACCAGGAGGTTTCCAGCCAGTCCCTGTAGTCATGCACTCCACAGCACTGCAACTAATGGGAATCGGTCAACAAAACACCCCATCACTTCCAAAATAGACGAGTTATTGTGATGTGTTTAGTTTGGAAAAAAACATTTGTGATAGTTCAGTTTTTGGAAAGGAATTGAGATCGAGCAAATGAGGGCCAACTGTCATGGATGACTGGAGTTGAAGACACATGTCAATCAAGACAAATCCTTCCAACCGTACGCCTTTTAACACGGAATATTAATTTGAGTGAAGAATAACAACACGTTACCAAATTGCCATGGTAACACTGGGTTATTCCGATATTGCCACACGATAAAGATACAAGCTTCTGCATTTTAAAAGTAGATCAGTGGAGTGATACATCAATATTACACATTTTACACATGCTTGGGGTATTAGATGCTCACATATGTAGCAGCTAACATGAGTTTGACTGAACACACCTCTGCTTGTGTAGCATCCACAGCCTGAGAGTCAGGGTCCCGGCCGCTGCCTGTGTAGTTATGAAACACTCCACTGAGAGGAGTTAACTCTGACTCCAGCTAAACAAAAACAACAGAAGACACAGAAGAAAACATAAACATGCATTTTGCCAGAATTATCTGCAGTGTCATGAGAGAACAGCTGTTCAGTGCACATTGTGTAACTTTTATACCTTTGTAGAGTGAAAAAAAGCCAACGCTGAAGCCGTACTTTCCAGACAAAAGGCCAACACTAGCAGATAAACAAACTGGAGAAAAACTTTATTAGGTACAGTTGGAACACCGATGCACACATTCTCACACACACACACACACACACACACACACACACACACACACACACACACACACACACACACACACACACACACACACACACACACACACACACATACACACACACACACACACACACACACACACACACTGCTGCTACAGTTACTAGATGTGCACTGAAGCAGTCGTGCTGACATGATAGGAGCACTAAATTCTGAGATCTTACAGATATTTGATACTGATGGTTTTGACGATTCAATGCTTTGCTCAGTGCAGCGATGGAAGTGGTGTAGTGCAGTGGTTCCCAAACGGTGTGCCGCGGCACACTGGTGTGCCGTGAGGCAAGTCCGGGTGTGCCGTGGGATTTTGTGACAACCATACGTTGTTATTGCACTATACAACTACACAAAAATAATTATTTTTGTATTTACTATATCAGTACTTTGTATGCACTCATTTCATAATACAGAGGCAAACTCTATACCTAAAAACAATTCTTTAAAAAAAATCCTCACAGAACCCCATATTTCGCTGTTAACGCAGTTGCACAGGTGGGAATTATAAGACCGTGACACATCGAAGGCTGAAGGACAACATTAAAACAGAGAAACACGCAAGAGGGAAAATGGAGCGCTTTCTTGTGCGGAGCAAACCACCAACCACCAGCGCAGAGACTGCCGACAACCAGGGGTTAAATTGGGATTTGATATGTGGGGGGGCTCTGTGTGGAGGGGAGGGGGGGGGGTCGAGGATCTCATTATTAGACCTTGAGGTCTATACTGTATATGAGGCCCTAAAGGAACTGCTCCATTATCTGTATCAAATGCACACATTGATGCCACCAAATGACACAATACAAATAGAAAGTACTACAAATAAATTGGAATTAATTTATATCTTAAATTATTAATGTACACACAAAAATGTATACACATATCCAACCTTCAAATTGCTATTTTAAATCAAAATTGCTCTGCACACTTGCTAAAGAATATTTGTGTGGAAATCTCAGTTCATTTGTAGGGCTGCGAGATTATGGCCAAAAGTATGCTGTACATTTCACTGTAAACGATTGAATCATCACCAAATTTGGTGTTATTATGACCGATCATCACTCAGCTTTATGCACACACACACACACACACACACACACACACACACCCACACACCCACACACACACACACACACACACACACACACACACACACACACACACACACACACACACACACACACACACACACCACACACACACACACACACACACACACACACACACACACACACACACACACCTACCAGTCCCTGCAGACAGGTGGAATCTCTGATGCTCAGCCAGGAGCCGAGGCCCCCGCAGGCGAGTATCAACACGGCGCTGGCAAGAGCGAGGTAAGCGGGCAGGGGGATGTAGCTTTGAGAGAGAAATACGCTGCTCTGCTTGTACTTCATCAGCAGGTAGACCCCGCTCAGGCCCACCACAAACCCCACCACCTGGCGAAGGAACAGACACAATATTTCTACATACATTTGCTCTATATCAGGGGTGTCCGAACTTTTTTTACCGAGGGCCACATAGAGAAAAATATACGAAGGGCTGGGCCACTCACTAGAGGTATATTGCGTCATAAGTTCAGTTATAAGTTAGCAAAATCGATCAAATGTAGGTAAATGATGCTCGTGAGTGTTGGCAGCTCAGCCCTTAAAGGTCCCATGTCATGCTTTTCCAGTTATTACCCGTTCCCTTGTGTTATGAAGGTTTTTCTGCATGTAAACGGTCTGCAGAGTCACAAACCCTCAAAGTACACCCTGTAGCGAGTAAAACTCTAACACAGAAAATACCTGTCTATGCTGCCCCAGAACGCCTCGTTGGAGATTTCTCTTTTTCTTCCTGGGTACAGTGACGTGCCCATACCCAAATGGACCAATCCGTGGAGCCGTTACGTTACGTCCGCGGAGCCGTTACGTTACGTCCGCGGAGCCGTTACGTTAAGTCCGTGGATTGGTCCAAATGGACTTCCAGCGGACTTCCTCACACACACACACTCAATCTTTTCTCAGCTGCAGCTCCGCCGATTTCTCCTCCCTGAGACGGCGGGACGCGGCGAGGCTGTGAGTCGGTGTGTGAGCACACACAAAAACTCCCAGCCAGGCTGCGGGTTTGTGTGTGTGTGTTCGGGCTGGTTTCGGGCTGGGTTTCGCTGTGTCTTGCTGTCTCGCAGACGGCCACTGGGCTCATAGGGAGGGGGGGGGGGGGGGGGGGGGCAGGAGCTCCAACAAGCCGTTTAGGACAGAGAGTGAATACACATACTATACAGAGATGCTGTATGAGAAATGTGATTTTGGAAAATTGCACAATATAAATCTATTTTAGTATACCTCAACAATGGAATTACGATCAGTAGAAATGGCCATGACATGGGACCTTTAAAACAGAAGCCTCAGATTGATTATAATAAGGAGAAATAGGAAGGGTTATTTCAAGCTTGTTATGTAAATAAGTCATTGGGCTTTTTTCTTATCAACTAAGCTATGTTAGAAAATGTTTCCAACTTTAATTGACTGAATTTATTTGAAAAGTGGTCTTATTAACACATGAATACTACAGTGTAATATATTTTTGAATTCATATTTATGAAGTATAATATAAGACAAGCGCAAGTTTCATTTGTGGGCCATATTCCATTATAATTTTTGAATTTGCCGAGGCCGATTCAAAATGGTCCCCGGGCCGCATTTGGCCCCCTGGCCGTAGTTTGGACACCCCTGCTCTATATCAACACCTATACGCTCTCAAAGGTTAAAGAGAAATTAGATTTTTATACTGTATAAAGTATGTATGTGTACTTAGCTATTAAAGCTGATTATAAATGTAATAGAATATTTATAGTCTCTTAAAACATCTCATAGTTCTGCATAATACATTAGCCAAAAGGAAAGTAAAACAGAAAGAGGGAAATTGTAAAACTTAAAACTCTCCTTAAAAATAACTCATTTACCAAAAACACAGTTAGTCAGCACATAGCCTTATTGAATTATTACAATATGACTGAGTAACATGTCAAGAAGGAAATGAAAACAATATGGAAATTATAAAAACAGAGAACATAAACATAGCCGAAAATACACTTCCAGTTATGTAATGGAGTAGTGGCCTAAAGTAGTTTATAAAAAATAGGTGTTTAAGGTCAAATGAAAATAAATGAGTACATACACACTCCTACTTATTTCCTGTAAACACACGTAAACACACACACACACACACACACACACACACACACACACACACACACACACACACACACACACACACACACTGTTGTGTCATCTGAGTCTTATTTAAACACAGAGGAGACTTCTCTTTGCTTTATCCCAAACATACGTAAATAACTTCAGTAATAATTGCGTCAAGCTGATATATAATAATTGGCAATATGTATCGACAGGAAACACAAACGAGTCTTACTGTACATACCCAGAAAAGTTGGCACGTCAGCTGGAGTATTGTTTTTAACGCGTTTTTTTTCTGGTCGCTCATTTTCAGACTTTTAAGGAGAGAAGTGACTGCGCATTATCCGACACAACATGCAACAGTTGCAGTTACAGAAAATACAATCAGTCATGAAGAGGGGGAGGGGTAGGTGCACGTGATTTTCTTGTTTCAAAGATCAACTTCCCCAAAGAACGATTTAATACGACAGCTCTGCTTTTTTTAATTTCCTGCTACTGTATGCGCGGTTTGCATATCCTGCTTTGAGGCAAGCTTTTGAATGCATGCAACAGAGTGGTTATTTACAAGGGTGTTGCTACTTTTGATCAGCACTGCCCTCTTGTGGATTTAAGCGAAATAACTACCAAAAAAGAGGGCCACAAACATTACAACACAAGAACATGGCCTTTAATCAGAGATCTTGTACTTGAGTAAAAGTAGAAGTACTCAGATCTTGTACTTGAGTAAAAGTAGAAATACTCAGATATTGTAAATAAGTAAAAGTAGAAATACCAGAGTGTAGGAATACTCTGTTACAAGAACAAGTCCTGCATTCAAAATGTTCCTCAAGTAAAAGTAGAAAAGTATTCTCATCAAAATATAGTGAAAGTAGCGACAGTAAAAGTAGTCATTGTGCAGATTGGTCCATTTCAGAATAATATATATGATATGTTTTATAATGATTGATCATGAAAGTGTTATCAAAGCTGGTAAAGGTGCAGCTCGTTTGAATGACTTTGTATACTGCAGGGTAGCTTGTGAATTTACTCCAGGTGGAACTAAAGTCTGATTTAACACTTGATTATATTTCACATCATTCATCCAGATCTGTGAAGTAACTAAAGCTATTAAATACATGTAGTGGAGTACACCATATACCTCTGAATTGTAGTGGAGTAGAAGTACAACGTAGCAAAAAATTGAAATACTCAAGTGAAGTACACGTATCTCAAAAGTGTACTTAAATGCAGTACTTTAGTAAATGTACTAAGTTAATTCCAACCCCTGCCTTTAATATTGAAAGTATTACATTCCTATGTACCTATGTGAAAGTCTATAAGTTTCTAGTGCTTAATGTTATTTACAATGATATTAGTTTTTAAGTGATGATTTAACTGGTCATGCCAATTTAACTACTTTATTTTTTGATCTATTATTTTATAATCATGTGTGAGGTCAAACATATATAAGTTATGTATAATATAGTGGATGTAGAAGCAATACTTTTGTACAGTGCTTTTCAAAAGGATCCATAACAATACACATCATTGGGAGTTTCAGCATTATGCAATTTCTATTCCATTAGATTGTAGAAGTCTTAGGAAGGTTTATAACCAGAAAACAAGTCATTGTGCTGATTGTTTTAGTGCCAATGTGTTTTAGTGCTTAGTTCCTGTCAGCTCTGAGTTCAGTGGGCTGTGTCAGTCTCTTCCTCTTCAGCAGCTGCAGGTGGTTCCTGCTGTAACAGCTCAGAGTCTCTGCAGTCTGACTGAGGGAGGTTTTTGTACCACGACAAATCACTGTGTGAACACTGGGCCAGAGTGAACACTTTTACAGTAATAAACTGCTGCATCTTCAGCCTTCAGTCCAGTGATGGTCAGAGAGAAGTCAGAGCCGCCTCCACTGCCACTAAACCGATCTCCTGAATGAACGATGCTCACATGTCTAATCAGGAGCTTTGGAGGCTGTCCAGATTTCTGTTGATACCAGAACATACATTCACCATCCCCACAACCTCCAACATTGCTGCTTGTTTTACAGGTGAGAGTGACGGTGGATCCTGGAGCAGACGTCTGGACTGCAGGCTGAGTCACAGTCACCTGACCGCTGCATCCTACACACAAAAACAGATCATTGATTTCTCAGCAGAAAGAAAGGAGAGGAAAGGCAGCACATGATGTTTGAAATGTTGCTGAGTGAATGAACCTGTGAAACAGCAGCAGGCCAGCGTCCAGATGAGGATGGTGATGAGAGTCATGGTGCTTTCTGCTGACTGACAGATGTGAGTCCTGCAGTGTTGAACTCACAGGACTATAAACCTTCTCACTGGAGGATCAGCTGACCATGCAAAGCCTCCTCTCTATGGAAATGATTTCTCTGCTCTCAGCACACTGAAGGCAACGTGGGACACGAAACCAGGAGGAAAGCTGTCTGGATTTACACCGTCTATCATCTGAATGGAAGAACATATTTATATCAGGAGTGGAGATGAGGATTTGAGTTTGTGTCCACTGTGGTTGGTATGATATGTCTGTTTGTCTGACATTAACATACATACAGAGATTCACTGTAGATAAATAACATGTTTCAGTTCTGTTTCAAATACATTTGTTAATAACTATTATTTAAAAGCCTCGTGTTCATTTAACCGTGTAGAAACTAATATAAAACTGACAAAGTTAGTTGTGTAGAAGACTGTAATGGTTTCTCTGCCAGGTGTAGAAAAGTGATGAAAAATGACATAAATCATATTTATTCTTCCAGAGATGTAATCCATATCTTTAGAAAAGCTTTGTTAATTTAAAAACTGTATATTTGTCTCTGTTATCAGTGAGATCAGGGAGCTTTCTCAGTGATACATGCTTGTTGACAGTGCAGGAGGTTTTTGTACGGCCACTTAATGAGTTTGTATCACTGTGGTACACTTTTGGTGGAGGAACCAAACTCATCGTTGACTGTAAGTACCAGAGATTTGTATTTTATACAACTTATAGCAAATATATAACTTTCATTAATTATTAAATGAGACTCAACTTCACATTTTTTTAGATTCCATTTTTATATTTTTGTATTAAGCTCCTCTTGTAATCTGAAAGGAACCTTTGCAGACTTCTATATTAATTGTTCGTTTCTTACAAATACATTTTTTAAAGCAAATAACTTGTTTATTTTCTATATTATATTTTATTATCATAACAACTTTATACTCAATTGTTTTATTCATTAAGATTTGTTAAAGCTTGACGTCTCCGCCACATTCAGTTTTACATTTGTAGTTCACAATATTGTATATATTTACATTATTTATCTATTGTCTATTAAATTATCAACTATTTTGTTGAATTCAAGTTAAATATGGATTCATCTTAAACTTGTGATTGTATCAGTGAATGCAGCTTGTCGTCGTGTTCACGGTTCATTGATTTGACATGCAGTGAAAAGGAAGTGAAAGAGACAGATGATAAATGTTTGAACTGTTTTCACTTGAGACGTTCAGCTCTGTCAGTTTAAAGAACATCATCACACATATGAAGATATTCAATCATTATTATCAATGAATCTTTAGCTTGCTCACTTTACACAAAGTCAGTCATTCACACTTGAATCATGTGGGGGTCTGATCCTGAGTGATTTATGAGAGTAACAGCAGCACAACTTATTCTGTTTCATTTGATGAGATATAAGGATTCAAGGATTCAAGGCTTGTATTGTCATGTGTACATAGCTACAGTTCAGATATGTTAATGAACATCTTAGGTCACAGGCTCCTCCCACAGAGCTACAGTGCAGATATGTTAATGAACATCTTAGGTCACAGGCTCCTCCCACAGAGCTACAGTGCAGATATGTTAGTGAACATCTTTGGTCACAGGCTCCTCCCACAGAGCTACAGTGCAGATATGTGAATGAACATCTTAGGTCACAGGCTCCTCCCACAGAGCAGCACAATAACACAGATACAATAAAAAGTAATTGGAATATGATATATTAGATAAATAATGTGTAAGTTGCAAACAGATGAATGTTATGGATGTTCTTTTAAAAGAAAACACAAGTGTGTTACTTTTCCTTATCATCATCATCATCATCAGCTTTATTGAAGAGACTCAAGGTCCATTTTTAAAAGACGTACAACACTCAAATGTAAATTAAAAAAGGCAGTGATACCAATGTTTCCACAGAGGTGACTGGTATCGTAAAGTACTGACTCAAGAATTTGACAGCAGCAAAATGACAACATCAAAAAAGGACCTTATAATCAAGTGTTCACTCTAATGTCTTCCTTTGCCTCCCCCCTCCCTCCCTGCTCCAGTGGGTGTGCAGCGGCCCACCATGAGCGTCCTCCCCCCCTCCAGAGAGGAGCTGCAGCAGGGCAGTGCCACCGTGGTGTGTCTGGCCAGCGGGGGCTTCCCCTCCGCCTGGAGGCTGGGCTGGAAGCTGGGGGGCAGCAGCAGCTCCTCAGGGGGGTCCCACAGCCCGGAGGTCCTGGGGAGCGACGGCCGCTACAGCTGGAGCAGCACCCTGAGCCTCTCTGCAGAGCGCTGGAGGGGGGCGGGCTCAGTGAGCTGTGAGGCCAGTCTGAGTGGACAGAGCCCTGTCACTCAAAGCCTGGACCCTGCCCGCTGCTCGGAGTAGAGCATCACTTCCTGTCTGGAGAGGAAGCAGCTTCTTTGGTAGAGATCTTCATGAAGACACACATCTCCTCTGCTCACATGTTGCTGCTGTCTCTGTTCAGTTGTTAGTGCTGCTCTCTAATCCTCACTTCCTGCATATTCTCCTGTTTGTTCATCAGCTCACAATTCAACTGGATTTCATTTGTTTCACTCCAACAGAAATCATTAAATAAAAATGTTGATTAAAATGAGACACTGTCTTTGTATTTCTTTAGTTCATATGTTCATTGGGAGAAAGATGTATTAATACCTTCAGTATTAAACTGTGTATTATATTAATATCATTTATAATGACTGTGGGACAGTGGAATGGAAATTACTACATTTTGTGTTTACACGATTTAAATTGTGTTGCGTGTGGTTGGAACGTGCTAATAGTAATAATTGTTTTGTACAGCCATTCATAAAGTTAGTGTTAAATATATGTTGATATCAGTGGCTATAGTTCAACATGAATCTAACTTTCCCAGCTCACTCATAAAGAGACTGGATTGAATGACTATAATATAGTTGAAACAGGGTATTGAAGAGTGTCTGTGAGTGTGTGTCAGCTTTATTTGGATTCATGGTGGTTCTGCTTGATGACTCTTGTGTTCACTGGACCAGTTTCCCTCCTCTCAGTCTCTTCACCTCTGCAGCTGCAGCAGGACGCTTTACTTCAGACTGAAGCCTGTGACCTAAGCTTTTCATCGTCATAACTACACTGTAGCTATGTTCGTATGACAAAATAAAAACCTTGAACCTTGACCTTGAACCTTGAACATAGAGAAAAACATACAAAGGGCTGGGCCACTCACTAGATTTGAGGTATTTTGCCTCATAAATTAATTTAAGCAATTTTGTTCTTAGTGACTATGTATATAATTGAACATCTGGATTAGGAAAGGGGAACATTTGAGTTTCACTTCCCCTCTGACTGGGGCTCATGTAGTCTCTGTACGTTTGTGCCGGTGGTGCGTATCAGAACCTCAGGTCAGGTCACAGCTCAGCACTCTGTACGCTGTTTCATACGAGGGAGGTTCTTGTATGACTATATGAGGCCCACATTAGCTCCCATACAGCAGTCACTTCATGCATCTCCAGCTCATCTTCAGAGTGACTTTCATTTCAAATCCACTACAGCTCAGAGACAGAGAAATAAAACATAGCTACTGAATGCAAACTATTTTATATGAAGAACAGTTTGAACATTAAACTAAACTAACCCTATGTATGTAAAGGCTGGTTAATGCACTGTCTGTAGACTCAAATCAGTATCTCACCCTGGATGTAGACTACCAGTACCAGCAGTAAAAACAGCAATAACCTTATTTAAAAACTGGATAATTGTGCATCAAGCCCAACAAATCTTCTCTGAGAGTTGTCTGTGTTACATCTGCATGAAAAAAACAACAATGCTGCCCTCTTGTGTCGAAATAGGAGTATGTAAAGACATTTGAATCTTTCACATCATGCACAGAATCTGAGATACAGTGACATAAAAGTCTCTTCTTTATCGGAGCAAAGTTCTCTTGTGAGTCTTTATCGCTTTGCAGTCGCCCTGTATAACAATCTAGAGTCTTTCTGTGTCTCTTTGTAGTTGTTTTGCCTCTTTATGAAGTAATTTAGCACTTCTTTGTGGCGTCATGCCTCTTTCTCATCATTTTGCAGTTCTTTGTGGACAGTTCTCCTCTGCCAAAGCCCCTCTTACCTGTGGGGTTCCCCAAGGCTCTATTCTGGGCCCCATCCTCTTTTTACTGTACATACTGCCTAGGTTCAATTCTCACAAAACACAATATTCCCTTCCACTGCTACGCCGACGATGTACAGATCTATCTGCCTCTCAAAGCAAATGTCAAACACTCACTACAGCAGTTGATGGACTGCTTAGCAGAGATAAAATCCTGGCTGAGCAAAAACTTTCTCAACCTCAACGAGAGCAAGACTGAGGTCATCTTTTTTGGACCCCAACCTCCAGCCTTGATATTCTGGGCTCTCTCAATAAAAACATCCTCCCCTCTGTCATGAACCTTGGAGTGACCTTCACTAGCGCTTTTAAATTTGATAAGCAGGTCAGCACCGTAGTCAAATCCTGCTTTTTTTAAATAAGACTAAGTCGTTTTTATCTTTTAATGACTGAGAAAGGGTTATTAACGCCTTTGTTAC